AATTTCTTCTTCTGCTCTAGGAGTGGATACCGACCTTGGTCTTCCGGATAAATGGCACTGTTTGCTCAAGGAACCGGTATCACGCAATCTTTGGTGAATTCTTCCAAACATGCGTTGTGAAGGAATCTGGCGATTTGGATAAGCGTCAACATAAAGACGTCGCGCTTCGGTGGCGTTCCCATTAGCACGACCATACATGAAATGCATGTCTGTTAATTCTGCGTTAGAGTAACCAGCCATAGCGAAAGAAAACTTGTGCACTGAGAACAACTGTCAAATACGTACTGTTTATTTCACTAAACATCAACCAACTATTATAAGAAAATACACAACGTTTTTGCAAAATTAAAAAAGGGGCTAAAAAACATAAAACATTCCATATCTCCGCAACCGTTACTTTGCGGACCCATGTTTATTAAGACTTTTCTGCTTATTTTGGTTCATACTATTACCTCCTTAAATATTTTACACTCTTTTTTTAACACCCTGTATATAAAAATCTTGGAAATCGGAGTGTTCGGGTTGGGGTAGTTTCCCGTAAGTAATATTAAGCATGAAAATGAGGGTTATTCTAAAAGTTCTTATAGGTTTTATTAAACATTATTACTTATCTGAAAATTTATTTATTTACAATAAATATACCTAGAAATACATAAATTGTCTATAAATTTATAATTATTTATCCGTCATTCACGAAAACACGACAGTAGACCTCTTTTTTACACTATACATTATAAATTTTTTTTTTTTTTAGATATTACAACCAAATATATACATAATTAAAACTCTATTATATTTGGCTCAGAGATCCATTTGCTAAAAAGAATCAAGCATCTACAATTAGAAATAAACTACTCATAGAGTCTATCCAAAGAAGTGATTGTAACACGACTTAATCGGACCCAAAAGACTGTACGCAACATACAAAGCCAAGAACACCATCAAGGCTATTTTGCCGTTAGCTCCAGTGAGGGATTCGAGATAATTAAGTCCAAAACCCAGTGCTACCACTCCAAGAATATAAGCCGACACGCCTAGGAACAAGTGAATGATCCTGTACAAAGGCGGCTTGCCCAAACCAGGGCAACGTCTGATGTTGGCCGTCAGGATACCAATGATGGCAGAGATGAGAATTAGGATCCAGGCCGTAAGTCCTGAAACAAAAATAACATATTATTCCCTCAAGGAACTTTGCTCCAAACATTAAGAACTCGATATTTGGCCCTCTTCCTTTACCTATTTTTGAATGGTTGGACGTGAAATGGTTGCTACTGGCTTGGACTTTCTGATCGATCTTCAAGGCGATGCCAATCGTGAGACTGATGCAGGCTGCACACATCACACCGCCGTGAACTGTGCCTCTGGTAGCTCTGTCCATGTCTTTCAAGAAGGAGTTTTCTTTGTTGAACAGCAACAGTCCCTCGGCCATGCAAAGGCCAATCTGAAAAGAAAGACAGAAGAATAAATATATAAATGTCTGCTTGTCGATGTTTCGGTAAGTCTTGTTGTATTCTTCAAGACAAATTATACTGAGGGAAATCGACCATTAAGGAAGTTTAGCTAGGATAATCTGTGTTACAAATAATAATAAAGATCTCTTCGTAGCAGCTGTTTTTACGTAATCAAACTTTGTCAAGGGTTAAAGGTAATTGACATAGAGCACAAAGAAACAATTCTGGTTATTCATGTAACTAAAACAAATACCAACAAGCCTCGATTATTTGTGATCACTTCAAAGTTTGAAGGAAAAGTAAAATTTGTAGAATCATTTATTCATATTTAGCTCTGCGCCCTTGACAGATTTACTGATTTTTTCTAAAAGAAGAACACTTTCTCATGGCCACTTTTTGCCCTCTATCGAATGGCATAATCATTTTTCATATGTAACGTTTCGTCTCTCAACTTCATTTTTTTAAAAACGACCCTGGAAATTTTATTACATTTTTTGCAAGCTTTCATGACCCCCAATACTGTACTGGCTCAGCCCTAACCAGATTCAGACGTTTTGCCTCGAAAGATTCATCTTCAGTGTATTCGTTCCAAATTTATCTAAATTTTTTATTTAGATTTCTTTGTTTATTGAATTATCGTACACTGTAAGTGTCTTTAGACCCTGTGAAATCCATCTAGTTATTTAAACTATTACCACCACGCATTAAAATAAAAAATTATTAGAATTTCGCCCTTCCACAAATAAGATCCACTTCTTATTTGTGGAAGGGCGAAATGGGCGATGACTATTAGACGCCTTCATTATAGCCATCTTTCTCTATCGCACGGATTTCTATGACTTTATAGCTCTCACGTAACGGCCGATGAACCATGGGGACTTTCCGACCCTGTATACAAGTGTATACATTAAGTCACATTAGAAGAACAGCCATTAAGAAAATCAGAGATACTATAAAAAACAGTGTTCCAGCAAGTAATTTTTAACAAGTCCTTTGAACTTCTAAATGTTCATGTTATCAATATTAATAGTTTCAATACATTTGCTGTATAAAGCATTATATAATCGTAAGTCTAACTTTAATTTTGTTGTTGTAATTCTACCAGGTAGTATCACAAATTCGTTTGCATGCCTTTGTTGTANAACTATTACCACCACGCATTAAAATAAAAAATTATTAGAATTTCGCCCTTCCACAAATAAGATCCACTTCTTATTTGTGGAAGGGCGAAATGGGCGATGACTATTAGACGCCTTCATTATAGCCATCTTTCTCTATCGCACGGATATCTATGACTTACTTTATCGCTCTCACGTAACGGCCGATGAACCATGGGGACTTTCCGACCCTGTATACAAGTGTATACATTAAGTCACATTAGAAGAACAGCCATTAAGAAAATCAGAGATACTATAAAAAACAGTGTTCCAGCAAGTAATTTTTAACAAGTCCTTTGAACTTCTAAATGTTCATGTTATCAATATTAATAGTTTCAATACATTTGCTGTATAAAGCATTATATAATCGTAAGTCTAACTTTAATTTTGTTGTTGTAATTCTACCAGGTAGTATCACAAATTCGTTTGCATGCCTTTGTTGTAAACGTGTATTTCACTACGACGAATAAATGATTTCTTGTTATAGTCTTTCCGATCTTAATTGAAAAACCAAGAGGTTGGCAGTATGTACCAAGTTCGGTCGCTGACGCAGCAATTCGGCATTGAAATATTTCAAAAACTTGTTCCCATATTTATTTATCTATACCCATATACAGGTCTAGTCCCCCAGTTGAAGAATGAGCGTGCGGGTAAACGCGGCACAAACATAGCCGCACTGGTCCACCTAGCCATAAATTCAGTTGTCAACAAATTTCTGGTTAATTAGCTTAAGCTTGTTAGCTGAAAACCATTCTCGTGCTTGAGAGATCCCATCTCACAATTGGAACCCACCTGTAGATAAAATTGTGGTGTCAACAGAACACAGTGATTGTCTAGAGCATTTGGCAAATCATTCACGTAAATCACAAACAAAATAGGCCCTAATATGGATCCTTGAGGTACTCCGTTGTTTGCTAAAATAAGTGTGAATTTCATTGCAACTGGCATACTGCCTTCTGTCCGAAAGGTAAGAAGCAGGTAGACTTAACTCTTTCGATCTTATACCACAATGCTCAAGTTTGTATAAAAGAATATCCCCTGACACACAGTGAAAAACCTTCATCAGGTCGCACATTACTACTTGAGTGGGATAACCTCTATCTATACTGTCAACTACAATTTCCAAAAAATCAGTAAGTGCATTTACCGTAGATTTGTTACTAGGAAAACCGTATTGAGCAACCAACAGCAACTGTTTAGACTCAAGGCAAGAAATTCATTTTCCCTTAATAATAGCTTCTAAAATTTTTGATAAAATAGGCACTATTGCAACTGGTTTATAACGGGCTCATTCAGCAATTTTTTTTATTTGCTTAACCGAAAGATATTGCACATTTTAAGCACCTCTGCAATAAATTAGAATTTTATATCGTCTACAAGTCATCCAAAAAAAATCATAAACTGGCGCGCTGAGTATCCGCTGAACCGGCGGGTGTGACGTCACCGCATGGGAAACCCATGCCGCATGCTTACCTGTGCTGTCAGTCGAATAGTCGGGTTTTAGTTGCCTGTTAAGTTTCGATTGAGTACGATAAGATACCGAATTTTGTTAGCAATTGGAAGACACAGAACAGAAAAAAATTGCAAATATTGTATTTTTCCCCAGACTCAAAATACTAGTGTGAAGACGGCTAAGAAAATAATAATGTCCTTATAATTCTTTTGTGCGGATCTAAAATCAATCGTCTATCTCTATATATTTATATAAAAATACATAACAAATATTATATTATTAATATATTGATAATATATTAGGTAGATTTTATGTAGTTTCCATAGGAACAAAAATAGTAATAAGAATTTTGTATTGGATTAGGTAAATCTTTGAAACCAGTGACAGAAACGGTTTCGTCCAATATTAAACGCAAAATCCTTATTCTTATTTACTATTCTTATTGTACAAAAACATCAAAACTTTCGCTACAAACGTACTTTAAAGAAGCTTTACACGTTACTGAAACGTAACCTTTGCATTTTCACTCCTCTCATCTCAGCACTGATAAAGTTGTGGTTTTCATTTAAAAAATCCATAACCATTAACAAACCTACTACCGGCAAATTAGAGGGATATGCTTTTACAAAATTTTCCTCCATTTTTTAAATTTTATATGCACAAACGCTAAAACAGTATGTAGATGCAGAACTCATCTGGAAGTAGCGCTAAGCTGATCGTCCCATGCGGTGACGTCATTGCATTGCCACGGCTGAGACAAATATTCGCATTTTAAAAATCGTATAGGCCAGAGGCCTTCAGAAATGCATATATTGTATAATATAGTTAAAGGACGTGTTAGAAGAGAAGATTGTACTATTTTACTACTCATGTTATCTAATGAGAAAGTATCTATGTAAAAGATAGCATCATTGGTATTTTAGTTTTTTAATAATAGTAGAAGATATATTAGCAAAAAAAATGATTAATGTCATCCACAGAAATAGAGGGAGAAAATTGTTTATTACTACCAAGGCGATGGGAATTTAGGCACATAAAGATATAATTAATAAAAACGAATTAATTTTAAACCTAATCTTTAAACGATTTAAGTTTTTATCGTCCATCTGTTATCTGATTTTAAAAAATTTATGAGCTATTTTCTGAATCATTCTCTAGTAATCATTGTTAGTCACCTCTAATAATAGAGATGACCAAACATGAATAAAAAAATTGATTAATTCAATAAACCATTTTTTTCACAAATAACTCGAAACAGGTTGTAGTAGATTTCTTATTTTCCAAAAGGTTTATCGTTTAGGCTTATCTCAGTTAGATAACTGTCTAATTAGAGTTATAGTATAGTAAAAAGTTGTATGAAAGGAATTCGTATTTATTAATAAATTTTATTACATGTAATTACGTGATAAAGTTTTAAATCTTACACGAAGTGAATGGAGATAACCACTAACATTAAAAATATGCATAGCATTCATATAAAAAATCCACACTATACATTTTTTTAATTTACAATCTAAAAAAATTCTTTGACACCATCAACGACCATAAACTACAGGAACAATGCTATTTTCTCTATTACTTCGTCGAAGTAAAAAAATGCTACATAAAATTTATCTGATTTTTGTAATCTTAAGCACGACTTTGATATTAATAATCAAATTTTAGATACCTTTTACCATACTTCAGGTACTTCAACGAGAATCATCTTAATTTTATTTTAAATCTAGATCAATACTCACCCCAATGGTGCACAGTATCACATGCCAAGCATGTACATTGCTCAAACTGTAGTTCTTAAATACTTCCCAGAGGACCAAGAGGACGAACACGGCTACAAGCTGCTGGAACAAGGTGTCGATGATGTTCAGGGTCCTGTCTTTGTACGTTCCTGTCACCATCTTCAGTCGTTCAAAGGGAATTTGCTATGCAACACCGCCCAAGAAACAAATAATTGTCAACAGAGAATGTGGAATAAACACTTCACTTCGGGTTATTTGTCATATATAGATAAGATTAAATTCTCTAGTGTTATAGCCATATGGAACTAATCTTGGTTATCAGGAATGAAATGATTGTACGAAAAATCCAGGGTATTTGTTCTGTGATAGTTTTGCGAAATATATGAACGAGTTGAACGACTGAATGATTATTTTCGGGGGCGCCAGTTTTAGTAAATTAGGTGCAAGGAATTCGAATTCGAAAGATTTGAAGATAGAACGCAATACAGGGTGGTCCGTTTTTCATGGCTCACCATTGGCATCTTGGAAACCTTAACATATACAAATTAGAAAAAAGTTGCTCCTTTTCAGTGTCATTTAAATAAACCGAACAGATTAAAGACATCTGATGTCGTTCCTGAAATATTGTGAAAAAACTGAAAATAGCGATTTTAGAAAATGCCATCTAGCGTCATTGTTTCACAACAGAAAGAGCTGAAATTTGGTACTGGAGGATAAGAAGATACGGGGAATCCATTTTCGTCGAAAGAAAATTTCTACGGCTACTAGTTTCAGTTACGCAACATTCAATAGTTTTTTTTTCTTATGGACGCCATATTGGATATTGACAGTGACAGATAGAGGATAAAATTAAGAACACGTTAATTTGTAACACTACTATTTTATTTGAAGAATAACCCAGAGAATTAAAGAAATTCAATAATTTATTTAAAAAGTTAATAAAATCTAGTTGTTCTTGACGTAAAACAAAAATCAATACTCAATAAAACAAAATACACAAATATTCTACAAATCCTACATAAATACTTCAAAGTATCGTCCATTCTCGTGCAGACAAAGCTCAGTCCTCAATCTAATTTTGTCTACAGCATTTTGAATACTTTGTGGTGAGATAGACCTAAAAGTAGCAAAAACTCTTTCGCGTAAGTCTTCTACATATATTTTCACAGGGACTGTAATAAATTTTATCTTTTAGACAACTCCACAGAAAAAATCTAAAGGGTTAAGGCATGGAGACCGTGGAGGCCAAGCTACAGGTCCACGAGTGCCAATCCAATTATTTGGAAAACGTCGATTTAAATATTGGGACACCATTGCAGAATTATGAGGCCCTGCGCCATCTTGCTGAAACATTTCTAAATTTCTAACGTAACGTAGGTGAAGATTATCCAATGCGTCCTCCATTTCTATCCCTAAAATATCTAAATACTTCTGAAAAGTAAGATTACCATCAATAAGAAACGGTCCTATTTTCAGTTTTTTCACAATATTTCAGGAACGGCTACAGATATCTTCAACCTGTTTGATTTATTTTAAGAACCCTGGAAAGGTGCAACTTTTTTCTAATTTGAAGCACCCACTGTTTTCCAGATGCCAATACTGAGTCATGAAAAACAGACCGCCCTGTATCTCCTTTCTTTCTACGATTTTTTTAGGATTACCTACTTGGAAAAAACTTTTAGTCAATAACTTTCTTGAACAGTGCAGCTCAGTTTTCAAGTAAAAATTTTCAAAACATTTAGGTAGGTATCCAAAATGTCCAATATTTTGGTGGGCAGGAATTTGAATTTGGTCTCTATTAGTTTTCTTCTTTAATTAAATCTACTGAAATATACTAAACCTCCATATACTTATCTTTAGATTACACCGGTAATCCTGCCTATAAACATTTTACAGAGTAACACGTGGAATTTTCTGGGTTTTTTTATTAATTGTATTAATATCCCGAATCTAAGCCCGAAATTATAATATTAAGTACAAACATTTTGTATACAGGGTGATTCAAAACATATTAATTCATTAAAAAAATTTTGAATGTACAAGGGTCTCTTACAAATACGATTTTGTAAATCAAAAAGGGCGGTTCGAAAATAATTTAAAAATACACTTCTGCATGGGACGTGGGCATGGCGGCAAAGTGTAATAAAAAATGAACGGACAAAAAATTTAAAGAATTTCTTTCCTAAGGAAAGAAATAAATCATTTTATAACACCTATTTTAAATCAGCAAATTCGACTGCTTTAATTAATAAAATATTTTGACATACCTGATGTTACAACAACTTTTCAATATTTTAAAAGTGACTTCTCAAAAATCCTAGAAATAATTTTACACAATCGACTTTATTTTCATATTGACAAATCAATATCTCCGTACCAACATGGATTTATGAGTGGTTGTTCAACTACCTCAAATCTAGTTGAGAAAACCCAATTTATTGCTGAAACATTGGATGCAGAAAGTCAGGTTGATGTTGTGTATACCGATTTTTCCAAAGCTTTCGATCAGCTTGATCATAATTTATTAACATTGAAATTGGAGTCATACGCTATATCCCCTGCTCTATTACGTATGTTTAAAACTTATATTAGTAATAGGTATTAATTTGTGCAGTATGGTGGCTTTCAATCATATAAATTCGATCAATCTTCAGGAGTTCCGCAAGGGTCAATCCTGGGGCCACTATTGATTGTTATTTTTATTAATGACTTAACTGAATGTCTCGATGTCAACTATTTACTCTATGCGGACGACTTGAAGGTGTTCTTGGAAGTTAAATCCTCTAGTGATTGTACCAGATTACAAGATAATCTTGACAGATTACACAATTGGTGTTCATGTAATTGTCTACCTTTGAATGTAAGTAAATGTAAAATTATGTCTTACAGTCCACGCAAAACTAAAAATAGAGTTACCTTTGTGTTACATTTGATACTAGATTATCGTTTGACGAGTACCTACATTAGTTTAGTAACCAAATCTGCTTTATAAGAATTTAGGCTTTATTTTGCGTAATTCTAAGGAATTTCAGAAAATAAAGGTTCTAAATATATTGCATGCAGCATTTGTGCATTGCAAACTTGAATATGCATCGGTTGTTTGGAGTCCCATTTATAATATTTATAATATTCACTTAGATAAAGTACAACGGAGATTTTTAAAGACTATTCATTTTATTAGTTATGGATTTTATGCTCCTCGTGGTACACCTCAATAATTATTGCTTTCTTGTTTTAATTTTAATAGTCACTGTCGTAGGTGAATTATGTTTTCAATTATATTCCTTTTTAAAATCATAAATAACACTTTAAATGCAGATTCGTTAGCTGATTTTTTTTGATGCACCAGACGAAGGAACGTTTTTTAACTATTTTAAGTTGTTTTACTAAATTAAATGTTTAGATGGTTGCTGTTTTTGCTGTAGCTGGTGGGTGCAAATGTGACTGTTTATTTATTTTTACTCACCAAAACTCGCAAAGAGCTGTAACGAAATACCTAAGTCTGTCTTCACAGAAAACAGCTATCAGCCCACTGTTTCTCAACTACCGTAAAGGAAAATGTACCGTCCATCTTGTAGGCATTAATACTTACGGAAAAAATCCTTACAAATATTGACAGATTCCTGAAACTGGAAAATCCAGAAACATATACCGGTCATTTATTGCGCAGATAAGGAGTAGCACCGCGCATAGATGTTTGGATATTTTCCATTGGTTCTCATCTCATAACTGTTATTTCTTCAAATAAATATCTCGTATACTCTTCAATGATAATAAAATGTCTCATAATCAAATGATATTTTATTGTAATTCTTATAAAGTCAAATAAGGGCACAATATCAAATATAACCTGGTGTAGTGCATTTAAATTAGTATAAAAGTATCCAAGAATAACCTAAAATAGCATCTCTTGATTCTTCCTGTTCCTTGTTCCTAACACAATAGGAATAATATTAGAGAATAAATAGCAATAACAGTAATATTAAGGCCATAATGGTTGTCATTAATATGTTGGCCACAATAATTCAATTATTCATCCTGGTGCACCTCCACATTATCAAGGCATTTGATGCATTCGCGATAACCGTTGTTCTATTTCCATTCATCCTTCACCAACATGAAGCAAGTCCATTGGTCACTCTCTATTGGTACCTATCCCAACCATGATTTCCTTCTGGGCTTCTTCCTGTCAATTTCCTCTCCACCTAAACTTGCCAATCCTACCAACATAACGACAATCATCTACGCTTAACAGAGAAAGCCTACGAGAACATATTCTTGAGTTGACTGTAACAAGACTTAAACGCTGCTAAGCAACCAGAGCTAATAGTGACTTCAGCTGGTCATCCGTGACCAAACGACGGAAGGCTGCTCCTATGTAGAATCCCAGGCACAAACTGGCGATGCCGATGGCGTAGCAGGCGATGCCGATGAAGTTGTGGATGAACTTGAAGATGAGTGGACGCGCGATGTTCTTCAGGCCTTGAGCATGCCAGGAGAAGAGACCTAGGATGATGGACACAAAAGCCAAGAGCCACGACACTAAACCTTAAAAGAAAAAGGACCATTTAAAATAAGATTGATGGACTGTAATTAAATTTTTTAATGAGTGCTACAATTTATGCAAATCTGGTACCGTCCATGAAATGTTCATCTTAAATCTAGGAACAATTATAGTATAATCTAGTCTTAGGTTAATACCTCTCAAATGTTAAGAGCATCAAATCTAGTTACTGACATGTGGTTATATATTACTGTCAACTGTTATCTTTATATCTAACTAAAATTTGATAAAGATTTATTGTTTTTGACCGTGAGATTAACTTTTCCAGTTGCGATCTTGGCAAAATTCAGTCTTCAAACATCAGGACAATATATACATCATAACACTGGACGTCAGTCAAAATGTCTGGTGAAAGCATCTTGTCAATCTACACCTTATATCAATAAAAAGGAGTCATGTATATAACGCAAGTAAGTGTGCTTTGTAGGAGGAAGAAAATGACTACCTGTTATAGCGTGGTCGCTCACAAAATGCTGAAATCCTCTGTCGTTTTTATTCCAAATTTCACAAGCTATGCCTGCAGTGAGAGCCACAATACTGATCCCCAGTAATACTCCATGTACCCAATTCTTCTTGGGCCTTTCTAGCCCTTGGGACCACAAGTTGTCTCCAGCGAATACGATTATGGCTTCTGCCATCAGTGGGACATACTGGAATGAAAAAAATCTAAGTAACAAATTGCAAAATGGCCGGGGAAACACTTCCAATCGTTTCAATTACATAATGTCTGTAAAACAATACTGTGTATATTAGGCTATGAGTATTTAATAACGATTATTAATACTGAAAAATAACCACTTTGTTTTCAAACAGTTTTAAATTTATGAAGAAATTATGTTGTAATTAGGGAAATACTATGGAAATTAAACAAAACATAGAAACGTTAAAATGTTCATATCTGGTAGTTTGGTAAATGTAGGTGGTATTGGAGCAATGTTTATTAAATCGCTGGTTTGGATTTTTTTAATTCGGAATTTGATGAGCCACGTTGGTTTTATTTTAAATTGATTGGTCAATGTAGTCTGTCTCTGCATGAATTTCTATCCACCGTGGAGTGTTAACGAAGTGATTTTGCTACAAGCATCAACCAATATTGTGACAGAGCTATTGAGATTGGGAAGTAGCAATTTCTCTTCTGTTTCCAAATTTGTTTATTCCTCCTAGACGATAATTATGAAATTAATCCTCACACCTCTAATTTTTGCCCATCATATATCTTAAGAGCTTAACCACAGACAATATAGCGTATCGCTACAGACTGCTACTTAAATGCTGGAAATTGGCAACCCGAAATGGAAGCAGGGTCTCCTTAGACGGCTTCCAGCTATAAAATTTAGCGTGGTAACTCTTCTACTTGCTAATAGGCGGCAGTTCCAGCGGTGGCTTTGTTGCCAAATAATAACTGCTAAATAAATTTAATGCTTTCAATTATGTAATTAAAGAGATATGGAACTTATCTTGTGTTTGGAAATCACATTTGCCTTAAATGTTAAATAAAATAAATCAAGTTAGAATTAAAACTATGAATTTACCTAATTAATTATTTATTTTATATCACCTTGGAATGGGAAAATTCAAAAACTCGAAAGTAATGTTTTTAGATTTGTGCGTCGACTTCCAATATGGTACGATATCAAAACCTATGTTTAAAAAAATTGCATTATACAGATTGTGTATCCTTAGATGGGTACTGCCTCTTATTGTTGATTTCTTTAGATAGGTAAATAATTATTTATTGACACAAGTGTTGCATATTATGGATGTCATTGGTAGTGCCCATATTTGTGACACAAGGTGTTCAAAAAAATTAACACAATGTAAAATTGCTGGAACCTCAAGGAGTAGTTGAATACGAAATTTATTTAAAAAAAAAAAAAAAAATAAATCATCAATCAATGATCCCTTACAGAGATAAGACAATGCGTTTGCTACTGCTATGGCAATTTTTGATTACCTTTTTTGTTTTTCGACATACGGACTTCGGACCTTTTCCATTCAACGCAGAACGGACAATCAGAACCAGAGTAGTGGGGAGATTTTTTTAATTATTTTTTCAATTCAACGCACCGTTTCCGAATTATAAGACCTTTTTTACTGTATCACCTCACACACCTCTTCTTTCCGAAATTTATTTTCCACATACGGACTTCGGACCTTTTCCATTCAACGCAGAACTGTCATACAGAACCAGGGGTGTGGGGAGATTTTTTCAATTATTTTTTCGATTTAACGCACCGTTTCCGAGTTATACGGCCTTTTTACTATAACACGACATACCTCTTGTTTCCAGAATTTATTTTCGACATACGGACTTCGGACCTTTTGCATTCAACGCAGAAGGAACATACAGAACCCGGGAGGGAGGGGTTGACATTTTTCAATTATTTTTTCGATTCAACGCACCGTTTCCGAGTTATAAACACTTTTTTATCCTATGACGTCACACACCGTTGGTCCCGATTTTTTTTTTTACATGCGGGTTTTGACGTTTTTCACTCGTTCACCATGGGAGATTTATTTGTTCACCATGGGAGATTTTTTGATACTTAAGAGTCTAAGCAAATACTGTTTTTTTTTTTTTCATATATTGTGACACCCCGCTCTGCGTCACCCACCGAGTGCTCTACTCAGAACCAAGGGGAAATTTGTTTATATTTCCAGCCATTTCCGAGTTACGAGCAAAAACCATTTTTTTTTCTTATACTGTGTGACATCATAGATCGATAACGAAGGCTTAACAAGGCCACGCGCTCTACCCCACGTTCCCTCCCTAGGTGTCCTGAAATTGCTGGGGAGACTCCTGAAGACAGCAGAGAGAGAGAGAGAGAGATAGAAGCTTTCTACGAGGACAGAGTCACTCTATCTCTATCGCACACTATAACTCTATCTCTCTCGCACACAATCAGACAAAAACGACAGAAACGAACCTTCTTTTAAAAATACATGGGATTTATCATTATTAGAATAACCCATTTTAATTTAAAAAATTAAAAAAATTACAATGGGTTATTCTGATGACGAAAAATAAAACATAATTAACTGTATTATTCAAATAACAATAATGTGCAAAAGTTCTTCAGGAATATTGGCAAATTTATTTTGGAGGAAGAATCCCGTCAACGAACACTAAAAAATATTATTAGAAACCTTAGGTGGCCAGAAAACAGCCCCGATCTCATTGTCAGTCCTTTAGACATATTTTTTTTTCCCTGAAAGTTTACAAATATTGAAAGAAAAATACAGGACGAAATGCTTGATAATTTTGAATTTGTTTTTGAAGCAATTAATAGTAAATTGAAACATATTTTCAACTGTATCATCACAATCACTTGCATGTTGATTTGTAAAAATTGTAGGTATATTAATGTTATTTCGTTTTTAGTTATTCTCCTTATGTTGTTGTAAAGGTTAGTTATAAAAAGCGTTGTTTGTTATTTTCATAAGGATGAATTTTAATTTTTTTTAATGATTTTTTTTATTTTAAACATATATATTTTATGCCAGTAAATTTTGATGTCAAATGAAATAAAGGAAAAGTCGTACATTTGTATTTAAAGTTTCTTTCTATCTTTAATTATTAAACCTATAAGTGGATGTCAAAATACAAAAAAAAACCTGTACCTACATTCCGCGACGTACTAATAACCCACCTTGTATATTAAATAAATTTATCGTCATCATCAAATATTAAAAAAATTATATTACAAGCTGTTTAAAATATTATTACGAATTTTGTTTATTTGGAAATATATTTTCTGCAGTATTTCAATACCAAAAAATGAAAATAGTAGGTAGCTAATTAACGAAAATATGATTAAATAACTTAATTGTAACACCACTGCAGAATATCATATGATACATACATAGATATTCCTTTAAAAACATTTTTATCAACACACATACATTTAGGTAAATGCAGTAACGCAAAAAACAGATATTGATAAAAAAGTGTACAAAAGAAATCCGTAAGTACGCCTGGCATCATTATCAAAGTCTTGTTGCTAGGATACGCTTAGGTATGCGGGCCGCTGTATTTGATTCTTCCTAAAATTCTACTGGTAGTGTACTCTACCGGCAATTCGGAAATTTAAAACTGCTGGCCTATTCCAGGAGCGGTCTGTGGCGATAGCTATTTTGTCTGTGGCTTAACTATGGTACAGTAGCGTCTTAATCTTGTACAGGTAATATTTATTTATTGCAGATAAAGTTCGTGAATGCCATTATTTCAGTTCGTACAAGTTGTTTATGCTTTTTTAACGTATAAAATACCTGCTGATACGGATTCCTGAAAATTTAGAACTCACGATAGCAATCAAAAAAGGTGTCGTAGAAGTTCAGTTCTGAATCGAGTGGTACTATTCGGCAGAAAGCCTTTTGAATTATCTCACGTTAGTACTTATCGCTGTTATTAGGTAAATGTCTTCGAGTGTTTCTAATCAAAAAATTGATAGTATATTACAGCAAAATTTCAATAGATACATTGTTCTACATGAGAGGTAGCATGTCCAATGATAAAGACTTGGGAAAATCTGAATCCCGTTTGAAAATTTCTAAATATTTTGACGATCGTAGCTGCAGGTACTTGATGAACTTGAATATGTACTCAAACTTCTATAGAGGCATACATTTTTGAACTAATCAATTGATCAGAGTAAGGATTTGAGTCAAGTTGAAAGAAATCTACAGAACTGGTTTGGAGGATAGGAATTTCTAAACGTATTAGAAACTATTATATAAGTTTTAAAATATAATAAAAAAATATAATCCTATAATGCTTAATTCACGAAATAATTTAAAGATTCCTGCCAATTTATGGAAAATTTTTATTATAAATGTACCCATTTTAAAGAAAATTTATCAATTACTTGTTTCTGCAAAATAAATTCAATAAATTAATGACTTAATAGTTAAATTACTTTAAGAGTTAAATTGTGACAAATTTATAAACATTGTAAAAAAACATTGAAGTAAGCAAACAAAAACCTAAAAGATGTGCCTTTCATTGCACAATATTACCTTGATTCAAACAGTAATATTTAAATACTGTTTACACGAGGATTGTGAATTTAGATAAATAGTTGAAATTTATATAAATAAGTTTGTGAACTTTTAAAAAATTTCTTATTTAGTTTAAATGTACAGGGTTTTTATTAAGTATCGTTTTTTCTTAAAAATTTTAATAACTTTAGCCGATTTTGTTGAAATTTGGCAGTGTTATTTATGGCAGAAAGGGGCTAATTTAGCCCTAACTAGATTAAAATCATTTTTGACAAAAAAAATGCGTGTCACTGACTTTTTTGAAACTTTTATATTTTTTGCATTAAGCAACTAAAAACACAACTTTTTTATGTCTTTTATATCATGCTTCGTTTTTGGAGAAAAAAAATAAAAATCCCTTTTTTTGCTTTGCATGCCCCTGAGACAACATAATAAAAAATTCAAACTACCAAAAACTGGGGTGTTATTTTTTCCATGTCGATTCTAGTCTTAGAAATTGTTATAAAAATTAATGCTAGCTTTAAAAAATTGTGTTTCATTAATTATTAAAAAATGTTTTATTTTTTGTTGTCCCGATTTTTTTTTCTCCAAAAAGTAAGCAAGATAGGAAAAAATTAAAAAGAGACAAAAATGTTGCATATTTAGTTGCTTAACACGAAAAAAATATAAAAGTTGTAAAAAAGTAAGTAACACATTTTTTTTTGTCAAAATTATTGGTTAAGTTGCCCCCCGGGACGCCACTGCACTTAATCATTTTAATCTAGTTAGGGGTAAATTAGCCCCTTTCTACCATAAATAACACTGCCAAATTTCAACAAATTCGATTAAAAGATTATTAAGATTTTTACGAAAAAAACTAATTTTGAAAAACAGTTTGAGACCCTTATGTTTAAATAACCTTTTCGTTTTAGAATCACTCACAGAATCACCTCTTGTACAAGTACTTAATAAACACCCTGTAAAAACCACATGCTCCTCGGAAATTGAAAATAGAGTATTAAGCACAAAAAAACTATATCACAATTTATTATGTAATTTGAGTACTCCCGACAAACTGTTATAAAAAAACAAATCAATTTATAAATTAACTAAATTATAACGATTTTCTGGTACGATCTGCGACGATAAGGAAGATGGCCCTGAAATATTTGTTCATTTTCACTGAAAGATACTTACAGCAGCGGTGCACAGCACCAGGTGCCACAAGAGGACACTATCCAGTTCGTAGTTATCGAAGAACAACCAAAGCAGCCAAACCGTCGCGATGGCCACAACCTGGTGGAACACCAGTTTCAAGATCCACAGCAGCCTCTGCGTTAGAGTGATTTCCACTTTGGCTACGGTCATGGCGATCTGTCATTGGTGACACCTCTTGCGTATGTGAGGATTCCGCTCGTGGACAAACTATTTATGTATAAGTCCTTAGCATAATAATTTATGGAAATGACAGTTATCCGTAATAATTCGACACCTGAGCAGAACCGGATTGACTGAGATATTTGAGATATCGAGAAGCGTTTTTGATTCTAAGATATGATTGAGATGTTCTCCACTTGTCCACTTCTCCAAAAGCTTTGACTAGAGTTTAATTTTTTTTAATTAATTATTTCACGATAGACTAATTTAAAACAAATCACCTTTGAAATAATTTGAGAGTAACCACGGAAACGCATCATACATGCCAAACTCTGTATTATTGTCAGCGTTGTTTATTTATTTCTGTCGATTAAATTTATGCCTATAAAATTTACTCAGTAGAAAATCCCGAAATTCCCTATAACATCCCAGAGCATGCGGCATCAACAAATATCCAAAAACTATTGCTTTCTTGAAGCGTCAAGCTGTAGGATATATACCGAAAGAGTCCAAAATTTTCACAGCAAAACAAGTAACCAAATTTTTATGTGACGCTCCAGATGAACAATATCTACTACCAAAAGCAATTTTAGTGTTTGGGATCTTTGGTGCGTGTCGAAGAGATGATTCAATACGTTTAAATTTAGAGGATGTGGTAGAAACACAGCCACACACAAAAAAGTTGTCTGTACTTTTCACGCGACATATGTTATTCGAAGTATTTTTGCCTCCTGATCACAAATCCGGTGTCAGAATTGAGCCTATCACTTCAAAGGAATTTCCTAACCTCAAAAAACAAGTCAAAATAACAAAAACTCACGTAAAAGTGCTAGGAAAAATACAAAAAAATTTTTTTTTTCTGTATTCAAATGTTCATTTATATGGTTATTAAGACTCCGCCAAACGTGAATCCGCGGTGAAAATTGATGGTTCTTTTTCTAACCTCAAAAAAGCAGGTCAATTTAGGTCAGATGTCACGAATTTTCAAAAAATAACATATTCGCGCCAAATTCGGTGTACGGGGGTTTTCGGGGTCGCTGATCACGGATCCGAGGTCAATTTTGCAAAATTCAAGATGGCGGATCCAAGTTGGCCGACCAAATTTTCAAAATTAACCCATTTGCGCTAAATTTAGTATAAGGGGGTTTTCGGGGTCGCTGACCACAGATCCGTGGTCAATTTTGCAAAATTCAAAATGGAGTATCCTAGGTGGCTGACCAAAGATAGGGTTAAAAAACATAATTTTTTAGGGAATTTTTTTGGGGTCTTTAAATTGAGTATAGGACCTTCATACTTGGCTCAAGAAAAGTTCATGTTATGTAGAATCATCACACCAAATTTCATCAAAACCGGTTCTATAGATTTTGCATAATAATTTTGCAATCCAGATTTTAAAAAAGAAATTGCAAATTGTCTAAATGTTGCACAGCAAAAACCAAGGCCCTTAAATATTTGAAAATTTTATCACATATAGAAAGGCTCTCAAGCTTTCAAACGTTTTTTGAAAAATTCGAATCCGTCCATAAGAAGAGCTCTAGCGCTTGTTTAAACATTGGTCGAATTTTTGTACTTGTAAACAGTTAGAATAACTTTGTTAATATTGAATCAAATCAAATTTTTTAAAGCAGGATTTAAAAGTTATTGGTTTTTGCTGTGCAAAATTTTGAAAATTTACAAATTTTTTTTCAAAATTTGGATTGCAAAATTATCATGTAAAATCTATCTATCTTTTGATGAAATTTGGTGTGATCGTTCTACATAACATGAAGTTTTTTTGGACCAAATATGAAGGTCCTATACCCAATTTAAAGATCCCAAAAAAATTCCCTAAAAGTAATGTGTTTTAACTCCAATTTTGGCGATTTCTTTTATTTTTACAATAATAATCAAGATTCATTCGATTTGTAACTATGTAGTCATATTTTGTAAAAATTTAATTACAAACATTTTTTTCTTCCATTTTCGCCTAAAATCAACTCAAGATACATAATTAAATAGGAAGAAAAATATGACATTTTTCGACTATTTTATCATATTCTGCCGCCAAAAGTTAAGCCCACGTTTTTTTTATGCGCATAGAAAAATTTTAATTTCAAATGATATTTGAAAGCCAAAAAGTAAAAAATCTCCGTGAATATACGATTCACCCAAATATGGACTTTTTGAAACAGATAGGTACCGTCTGGACTATATAGACATGTTATCAATATAAAATATATGTAAGTTCTTTGGATATTTTTCATTAGTATCCATCTCTTAATTGTTATTTCTCTCTGGGTTTTCTTCAAATAAATATCTCGTATACTATTCAATGAAAATAAAACGTCTCATTATCAAACAATATTTTATTATAAAATCCAATAAGGGCACAATATCAAATATAACCTAAAAGTATCCAAGAATAACCTAAAATAGTATCTCTTGGTTATTTTTCAGTTTTTCCAAACACAATAGGAGTAATATTACAGAATAAATAAATAACAATAACAATAATATTAAGATTAAGATAAATGATCGTCATTAATATGTTGGTAACAATAATTCAATTACTCATATTGATACACCTCCACACTATCAAGGCATTTAATGCATTCGCGATAACCGTTCTTCTATTTCCATTCATCCTTCACCAACATGAAGTAAGTCCTTTGGTCACTCTCCATTGGTACTTATCCCGACTATAATTTCCTTCTGAACTTCTTCCTGGCAATTTCCTTTCCACCAAATCCTGCCAATCCTACCAACATAACGACAATCATCTACGCTTAACAAAGAAAGCCTACGAGAACATATTCTTGAGTTGACTGTAACAAGACTTAAACGCTGCTAAGCAACTCCAGAAGGTTATAATCGCAACCAGAGCTACTAGTGACTTCAGCTGGTCATCCGTAACCAAACGACGGAAGGCTCCTAAGTAGAATCCCAGGCACAAACTGGCGATGCCGATGGCGTAGCAGGCGATGCCGATGAAGTTGTGGATGAATTTGAAGATGACTGGACGCGCGATGTTCTTCAAGCCTTGAGCATGCCAGGAGAAGAGACCTAGGATGATGGACACAAAAGCCAAGAGCCACGACACCAAACCTTAAAAGAAAAAGGACCGTTTAAAACAAGATTGATGGACTGGAATTAAATTTTTTAATGAGTACTACAATTTAAGCAAATCTGGTGCTGTCAAAGGAAGGAATGTGTCCATAAAATGTTCATCTTAAATCTAGGAACAATTATAGTATAATCTTGTCTTAGGTTAATACCTCTCAAATGTTAAAAGCATCAAATCTAGTTACTGACATGTGGTCATATATTACTGCTATCTGTTATCTTTGTATCTATCCAAAATTTGATAAAGATTTATACTTCACATCATAACACTGAAAGTCAATCAAAATGTCTGGTGAAAGCATCTTATTAATCTACACATTATATCAATAAAAATGAGTCATGTAGATGACGCAAGTAAGTTTGCTTTGTAGGGGGAAGAAAGTGACTACCTGTTATAGCGTGGTTGCTCACAAAATGCGGAACTCCTCTGACGTTTTTATTCCTAATTTCACAAGCTATGCCTGCAGTGACAGCCGCAATACTGATCCCCAGTAATACTCCATGTACCCAATTCTTCTTGGGCCTTTCTAGCCCTTGGGACCACAGGTTGTCTCCAGCGAATAAGATTATGGCTTCTGCCATCAGTGGGACATACTGGAATGAAAAAAATATAAGTAACAAATTGCAAAATGGCCGGGGAAACACTTCCAATCGTCTCAATTACATAATGTCTGTAATTACGAAACAATAGTGTGTATATTAAGCTATGAGTATTTAATAACGGCTATTAATCCTCGTGTATGAAAGTTACGATACTAGGTGTAGGCGTATTTCATAGCACATTGAAAAATAACCACTTTGTTTTCAAACTGTTTTAAATTTATGAAGAAATTAAGTTATAATTAGGGAAATACTATGGAAATTAAACAAAACATAGAAATGTTAAAATGTTCATACTTGGTAGTTTGGTAAATGTAGATATTGATGAAGCAATGTTTATTAAATTACTGGTTTGGCTGTTTTTAGTCGGGAATTTGATCAGCCACGTTGACTTTATTTTAAATTGATTGGTCAATGTCGTCTGCATGAACTTCTACCCACCGTGGAGTGTTAGCGAGGTGATGTTGCCACAAGCATCAACCAATATTATGACAGAGCTAGTTATTGGGAAGTAGCAATTTCTCTTCTGTTTCCAAATTTGTTTATTCCTGCGTTTTATATCTTTGCATTTTTTTTAAACTCTCAAGATACACAATTAAAGGATTTTCTGAAAAGCTGTTAACTTAATTCTTTTCAATTCACATAGATAGTTAAATTTTCCATGGGCGTAGAAAGAGGCAATGTACCTTTCTGTGTGTGAACGCTTTTTTTAGTGACACTGTGCATTATTTACAATAAATGGTTGTTTAAAATTCAGAAAACGCGTATATTACATCAATGTAAAACTTTTTGCAAATAAAAGTCTTTCCCTTAATTGTCTCTAAAATCCCGGTCCGAAACGTCAAATAGTTAATTAACAATTAATTAAACTCCATTTAATGCAAAAAGAGCGAATTCCCGAGCGGCTTTTGCCTAACCCAGGAACAATTTGTTTCTAACGCGATTTTGCACGTTCTACTTTGTTAGTTGTAGAGGGCTACTTAATTTTTCTTATTCGATAAGCTTCTTTGGTTTAATTAGAACCTATATCTACGATATTATCTTCTAAAATTAACGTTTACTAATTAAACAATTCCTTGGTCTTTGGATTGACCGTCTTTTCCATAAATTTCACCAACATCCATAGCTTTTGGCAATAATAATGCGAAATTTTCGAGAAAACTGATTTTTTCGTGCTCAACCCTTATTTCCCAATTAACAAATTTGTGAAATATGACTTTAGATACCTTAACTTGTAGGTAATTTAATTGCCTACAACATAAAATTACTAATTTTCTTATAGGTCATCTAGATTTTCGTGGGCAGTTAAAAAGTTGGAAAAACCCTCACTGTGGTAAGTTTCCNTTTGAAAAAATTTAGGGGATAGCACCCCCACTTAGGGGGTTGGTATGCTTTTTGAGCCAAAAGTTGTCCCCCTCAGAAACAAATTTGACCTATTTTTGGATTTTGCCAAAAAGTTCTTTACTACCCTGTAATGCTTTGCGGTACGTTTTCGATGGGCTACCCTGTATATTACTGTCAACTGTTATCTTTATATCTATCCAAAATTTGATAAAGATTTATTGTTTTTGACCGTGAGATTAAATTTTCCAGTTGCGATCTTGGCAAAATTCAGTCTTCAAACATCAGAACAATATATACTTCACATCATAACACTGGACGTCAGTCAAAATGTCTGGTGAAAGCATCTTGTCAATCTACACATTATATCAATAAAAATGAGTCATGTAGATAAAGCAAGTAAGTTTGCTTTGTAGGAGGAAGAAAGTGATTACCTGTTATAGCGTGGCTGCTCACAAAATGCGGAACTCCTCTGACGTTTTTATTCCTAATTTCACAAGCTATGCCTGCAGTGACAGCAGCAATACTGATCCCCAGTAATACTCCATGCACCCAATTCTTTTTAGGCCTTTCTAGCCCTTGGGACCACAAGTTGTCTCCGGCGAATAAGATTATGGCTTCTGCCATCAGTGGGACATACTGGAATGGAAAAAAAATATAAGTAACAAATTGCAAAATGGTCGGGGAAACACTTCCAATCGTCTCAATTACATAATGTCTGTAATTACGAAACAATAGTGTGTATATTAGGCTATGAGTATTTAATAACGGCTATTAATCCTCGTGTATGAGAGTTACGATACTANGGCGATGCCGATGAAGTTGTGGATGAATTTGAAGACGACTGGACGCGCGATGTTCTTCAAGCCTTGAGCATGCCAGGAGAAGAGACCTAGGATGATGGACACAAAAGCCAAGAGCCACGACACCAAACCTTAAAAGAAAAAGGACCGTTTAAAACAAGATTGATGGACTGGAATTAAATTTTTTAATGAGTACTACAATTTAAGCAAATCTGGTGCTGTCAAAGGAAGGAATGTGTCCATAAAATGTTCATCTTAAATCTAGGAACAATTATAGTATAATCTTGTCTTAGGTTAATACCTCTCAAATGTTAAAAGCATCAAATCTAGTTACTGACATGTGGTCATATATTACTGCTATCTGTTATCTTTGTATCTATCCAAAATTTGATAAAGATTTATACTTCACATCATAACACTGAAAGTCAATCAAAATGTCTGGTGAAAGCATCTTATTAATCTACACATTATATCAATAAAAATGAGTCATGTAGATGACGCAAGTAAGTTTGCTTTGTAGGGGGAAGAAAGTGACTACCTGTTATAGCGTGGTTGCTCACAAAATGCGGAACTCCTCTGACGTTTTTATTCCTAATTTCACAAGCTATGCCTGCAGTGACAGCCGCAATACTGATCCCCAGTAATACTCCATGTACCCAATTCTTCTTGGGCCTTTCTAGCCCTTGGGACCACAGGTTGTCTCCAGCGAATAAGATTATGGCTTCTGCCATCAGTGGGACATACTGGAATGAAAAAAATATAAGTAACAAATTGCAAAATGGCCGGGGAAACACTTCCAATCGTCTCAATTACATAATGTCTGTAATTACGAAACAATAGTGTGTATATTAAGCTATGAGTATTTAATAACGGCTATTAATCCTCGTGTATGAAAGTTACGATACTAGGTGTAGGCGTATTTCATAGCACATTGAAAAATAACCACTTTGTTTTCAAACTGTTTTAAATTTATGAAGAAATTAAGTTATAATTAGGGAAATACTATGGAAATTAAACAAAACATAGAAATGTTAATATGTTCATGCTTGGTAGTTTGGTAAATGTAGATATTGATGAAGCAATGTTTATTAAATTACTGGTTTGGCTGTTTTTAGTCGGGAATTTGATCAGCCACGTTGACTTTATTTTAAATTGATTGGTCAATGTCGTCTGCATGAACTTCTACCCACCGTGGAGTGTTAGCGAGGTGATGTTGCCACAAGCATCAACCAATATTATGACAGAGCTAGTTATTGGGAAGTAGCAATTTCTCTTCTGTTTCCAAATTTGTTTATTCCTGCGTTTTATATCTTTGCATTTTTTTTAAACTCTCAAGATACACAATTAAAGGATTTTCTGAAAAGCTGTTAACTTAATTCTTTTCAATTCACATAGATAGTTAAATTTTCCATGGGCGTAGAAAGAGGCAATGTACCTTTCTGTGTGTGAACGCTTTTTTTAGTGACACTGTGCATTATTTACAATAAATGGTTGTTTAAAATTCAGAAAACGCGTATATTACATCAATGTAAAACTTTTTGCAAATAAAAGTCTTTCCCTTAATTGTCTCTAAAATCCCGGTCCGAAACGTCAAATAGTTAATTAACAATTAATTAAACTCCATTTAATGCAAAAAGAGCGAATTCCCGAGCGGCTTTTGCCTAACCCAGGAACAATTTGTTTCTAACGCGATTTTGCACGTTCTACTTTGTTAGTTGTAGAGGGCTACTTAATTTTTCTTATTCGATAAGCTTCTTTGGTTTAATTAGAACCTATATCTACGATATTATCTTCTAAAATTAACGTTTACTAATTAAACAATTCCTTGGTCTTTGGATTGACCGTCTTTTCCATAAATTTCACCAACATCCATAGCTTTTGGCAATAATAATGCGAAATTTTCGAGAAAACTGATTTTTTCGTGCTCAACCCTTATTTCCCAATTAACAAATTTGTGAAATATGACTTTAGATACCTTAACTTGTAGGTAATTTAATTGCCTACAACATAAAATTACTAATTTTCTTATAGGTCATCTAGATTTTCGTGGGCAGTTAAAAAGTTGGAAAAACCCTCACTGTGGTAAGTTTCCTGATCTCAAAACAAAAAATACACCCTTCGAAACGTTCTATGCGACATTTAAAATATAACAAGTCCAGTCCTGTACAGTGAGACATCTGCCTATTTTTTTTTATCATAAATAAACAAAGAAATTCGATATGGTCCAAAGGATTATTTTAAGCTTCAGGATAGACGATAATTGTTAAACTAATCCTTACACCTCTAATTTTTGCCCATCATATATCTTAAGGGCTTAAGTACAGTTACAGTAGCGTCCTAATCTTGTACAGGTAATGTTTAATTGCAGATAATGTTTGTGAATACTGTGTTTTAGTTCGTACAAGTTGTTTATGCTTTTTTAATGTAAATACCTGCTGATATGGATTTCATCAAAAAAGATGTCGTAGAACTTCAGCTCTGAATCGAGTGGTACTATTCGGCAGATAGCCTTTTCGATTATCTAACGATAGTACTTATCGCTGTTATTAGTTGGTAATTTTTGTCGATTGTTTCTAATCAAAAAAAATTATAGTATATGTACGGCAAAATTTCAATAGGTACATTGTCCTACATGAGAGGTAGCATGTCCAATGATAAAGACTTGGGAAAATCTGAATCCCGTTTGGATTTTTTTAAATATTTTGACGTCGTAGCTGCAGGTACTTGATGAACTTGAATATATACTCAAAACTTCATAGAGGCATACATTTTTGAACTAATCAATTAATCTGAGTAAGGATTTGAGTCAAGTTGAAAGAAATCTACAAAACTGGTTTGGAGGATAGATATTTCTAAACTTATTAGAAACTATTATATAAGTTTTAAAATAAAACAATATATAATCCTATAATGCTTCATTCAAGAAATAATTTAAAAATTCTTCACAATTTATGGAAAATTTTTATTATAAATGTACCCATCATAAAGAAAATTTATCAATCACTTGTTTCTACAAAATAATTTCAATAAATTAATGACGAAATAGTTAAATTACTTCAAGAGTGACAAATGACAAAAATGACAAATTTATAGACATTGTAAAAACATTCAAGTAAGCAAACAAAAATGATGTGCTGATATGGTCTTTCATTTCACAATCTTACTTGATTCAAACAGTAATATTTAAATACCGTTTATATGAGACGTGAATTTAAATAAATAAATTTATATGAATAAATATGCGAATTAAAAAAAAATTACAAAATTTCTTATTTAGTTTAAATATTCAGGGTGTTTATTAAGTACTTGTACAAAGTTCAAAGAGTGATTTTTTGAGTGATTCTGAGACGAAAAGTTTATATAAACATAGGTCCGGTCTTTTCAAGACAGTGTCAAGTTTTTTTAAATCATTTTTTTCATAAAAATCTTAATAATCCTTTAGCCGATTTTGTTGAAAATTGGCAGTGTTATTTATGGTAGAAAAGGGCTAATTTAGCCCTAACGAGATTAAAATTGTTAAGTCCAGTGGTGTCCCGGGGGCACCTTAACCAGTATATTTGACAAAAAAAAAATGTGACATTTTTCAAACTTATACTTTTTCGCATTAAGCAACTAAAAATACAACTTTTTTGTCGCTTGAATTTTTTTCGTATCTTGATTTCTTTTTGGAGAAAAAAAAAATAAAAATCAATTGTTTGCATGTCCCTGGGAAATATAATAAAAAATTAAAAAAAAAAATTTAGTTTAAAAATTATTAAAAAATTTTTTTGTTCATGGATATGCAACAAAGTGATTTTTTTGTTCCAAAAAGGAAGCAAGATCCAAAAAATCAAAACATAACAAAGTTGTATTTTTAATTGCTTAATGCGAAAATACTATAAGTTTAAAAAAGTCAATGGCGCACATTTTTTTTGTAAAAAATATTGGTTAAGGTGCCTCCCGGGACGCCACTGGACTTAATAATTTTAATCTAGGTAGGGCTAAATTAGCTCTTTTCGACCATAAATAACGCTGCCAAATTTCAACAGAATCGCCTAAAAGGTTATTAAGATTAAAGAAAAAGATTGCACCCCTGTGCCTATATAAACTTTTCGTCATATTGTTAGAATCACTCAAAGAAACACCGCTTGTACAAGTACTTAATAAACACCCCGTATAAAGCTCATGCTGTATTTGAAAATAGAGTATTAAGCACAAAAAACTATATCACAAACAAAATTGTGTTTTTTTTTCAATTTATTATGTAACTTGAGTCATCCCGACAAACTGTTATAAAAAACAAATCAACTAATCTAAATTATAACGATTTTCTAGTACAATTTGCCAGAATAAGGAAGATGGCCCTGAAATATTTGTTCATTTTCAGTAAAAGATACTTACAGCAGCCGTGCACAGCACCATGTGCCACATGAGGACATTTTCCAGTGGGAAGTTATCGAAAAACAACCAAAGCAGCCAAACCGTCACGATGGCCACAACTTGATGGAACACCAGATTCAAGATCCACAGCAGCCTCTGCGTTAGAGTGATTTCCACTTTGGCTACGGTCATGGCGGTCTCTCGTTGGTGACACCTCTTGCGTATGTGAGGATTCCGCTCGCAGACAAACTATTTATGTATAAATCCTTAGCATAATAATTTATGGAAACGATAGTTATCGGTAACAATTTGACACCTGAGCAGAATCGGATTGACTGAGTTATTTGAGATATCGAGAAGCGTTTTTGATTATAAGATATGATTGAAATGTTCTCCACTTGTGTTAAAAAAAATGCAATGATGAGTGATTCCATATAAAGTGAATTCTCTCAATTAAATTTATGCCGATAAAATGTACTCAGAAGAAATCCCAAAATTCTCTATAACATCCTAGAGCGAGCGGCAATCGCGAATTTATTACCAGTACAATCCAGGTCAGGAATACGAATATCAAATTTTTACTGAACGGCGAAGTCTGAACAAAATGAAAACTGTGACGATATTCTTCTAGTTTGCTTTGTCGAAAAAGCTAAGTCTATGAAATCTTCCACGTTATGTAGTCGATTCTCAACTCTAAAGAGTTGTTTGGCCATAAACTAAAATGTTAACATTGACAAATATCCAAAAACTATTGCTTTCTTGAGTGTCAAGCTGTAGGATATAGGTATACCGAAAAAGTCCAAAGTTTAACAACAGAACAAGTATCCAAATTTTTTATGTGAAGCTCCAGATAAACAATATCTACTACCAAAAGCAATTTTAGTGTTTGGGATCTTTGATGCGTATCGAAGAGATGATTTAATACGTTTAAATTTTTTACGAGATGCAAAAACTCGTACATCAAGAAGTTTCACCATTACCAATGAAGGATGTACATTTGAGCCCTACACACTGTATGGTAGAGATGCAGCTCTACGACTTAAAAATATGAACAGCAGAAGATTGTTGCATATCGAGACGGCAGGTGTTACGTTCAACGCGTTGATGCCATACCAACAGTGGTGTTCCGAAAATTCTTGCAGAATACCTAAAACTAGAAGATCCCAGAAAATATACCGTGCATGGACTAAGGCGTTCATCGTTCATCGGAAACCATGTTGGTGGAAATCGGCGCTGATTTACTCACTCTGAAAAGGCGCGAAAGATGGCGTTCTTCCAATGAAGCAGAAGGATATATCGAAGAATCCATACAAAGAAATATTGAGGTCCACGAAAACTTGTTTAACCCTTCCTATTAGCAAGATACAACAACTGTATCATTAGGTCGAGAAAATCAAAACATTTGCGAATAGTCTGCTTCAATAACTGCAGTTTCACAAAATGAAACTCCAAAATAACCAAACCTGTGCAATAATACGAATTGCACAATAAACATAACCATTAATCAAACATTAACTCAAACTAAAAACATTATTAGTTGAAGCTGTTCTTATTAATAGTTAGTTAAAATTAGTTAATTTTCAATATTCTTACTCTACTTGTTTTTTTATACCTATAACTGTTATGAAAATAAAAATGTTCCAAGTTTCTTTTGTATGTATCTTTTTATTTTATACTTTGTTTTTATGTTTTTGTTTTCAAAGAAGTACAACAAAAAAATATCGTATATTTTTCCGAGCTTGCATGACTTCCGTGTGTGACTCACGCACGGAAAAATCCTTATTTCCAGACTCCTCAGGAAATATCTTATTTCATGGCTTGAGATTCAATTTAAAAAAAAACGTTAGTTGTTTTTCTGTATTGTATGGTACATATACCTAATTGAAAAAGTTGAATATCATCCCAAACGTACTATTTTATTATTTTATAAATCTGGAATCGAACTACTGATGTAAGTGATGAGCAAAGATTTCAAAGAATTAAAAAAAGATCGCTTGATGTACACTGTAGCATTATTCATATCTCCTAAAGGTGGCAAATAATTATCGTCAATAAATTTATTTAGCGTAGTACCTCCCTGTATTTTGATAAAACCTCATATCTAAGGACGTGACAAAACTAAAATGTAATAGGTGCGTAAAATCAAGGAGCGACATTTTTAGCAACAATTTGGTTTATCATTAAGAGTATATGTACATTTTAAAAATGTATAGCTGTTCTGAACAGACCTGAAGATATATCATAAAGTATTTTTAACTTTCTTTAGTGAAATTGTTGCGTTTAAAATCATGTTTTTTCCATTATAGCTTTTTTCTGTATTTACAGGATGTTCTACAAGGAACTCTACACACTTTAAAGAAATCTTTGTCAGGTAAAAATAAGCAAAATGTTTAAATAAATGTTGATCGAAGAATGCACTATTCTCGAAACAGATTTTTCACTTTTTAAATTGTAATGTCCGTATATTTTATTAAAACGACACATTTACGGAATAAAATGTTGCCAAATATTCATATTTGCAGATTTTGAAGTAAATTGCACTTTTTCTTCGTTTTCTGAAAAAAATTGTTAAACACTTTGAAAATCAAGGCTAACCAAAACAGTAGTTTTGTTTAAAAAGTATGTTGTTTTAACAAAGCATATAGAAAAATTGTACCCAATTTTCTTGAATCGAATTTTTTAAAACTTGGCACGCCATTGAATTGCGGCTCTATCTGACAGCCCTAATAATGAGTCATTCACAAGTGTTATTTAGGTACTTTTTTAATTCATAGTAGATCGTCAACCTTGCTTTTGTGGATGGCAAATATTGAAGAAAAATGTAAATTTTCGAAAAAATTTCCGTGATGGTATGCTTATATATTTTCCAAATGATCAAGTCAGCGGTTCTAACGATTACGGTGGGGAGTACCTAATGAATCCGTGAAACATTATACACTATTGTATAGGTCTTTGTGAAACACTTTACATAATTTCACATGATTTTCGCTCATCATAAATAAATAGAAGATATGAAAACAAAATTGTTTGCTTGACTTAAGAGACGATTTCCAATTTCAGTTATTCACTCAGAAAAAGTGAAAATATGAAAATGTGGATCCTTATGTTGTCGAGGGTGTACTTTCAGAATTCGCGATCAGAAAAGACCTAACTCGAAAAAAACATGAGTTTTGTAAAAATTTTACATTTTGAAAATTTTTTTTGGATTTTTTTAAACATGAATTGAAAGTACCTAGAATATAGTATAAAGTTCAATATATTAGATGAACTTGCCCAATGCTATTTTCTGAAAATCGCAATAGGAAATATGTCAAGGTCACATATTTTTTTGCTTAATATACAAAAATTCAACATGATCGACCTTGTATTAAATTCTTCAAAAAATAAACCTTTAACAAATGCTAGCAAGTCATAGTAGAGGGTGAGTAGAGAAAAAAGTTCATATAAACTTTATCAAGTGTCACGTATGTACGAGTGTTAGGGGTAAAGAACGAAATATCTCTTAAACAGTTTTTTCGTTATAACTTGACTACTATAATGGATAGAAAGTTGATTTATTTTTGTTATAAAGAGGAAAGAGAAAGCTATCGAACGATGGTATGAAGTTTGATTTCGCAACTAGTAAGATAATCGGTGGGTAGCTCAAAATTTTACATATGAGAGGTCGCGATCTTACTTTTTGAATTCTGGGACGTAAGTAATTTCCAAAAGTACAATAAAAAAATTGGCGACTTAAAGAAATATACAGAGTGACCCATTTGAAAGCGGGCCACCCTCATAACATTTTTATTTATGGAGCGATTTTGACGAATTTTTTTTTGAAATGTAGAGGGGGAAAAAGTGTATTTTGGGGCCAAGCGCCGTCCAGTTCTCTTTTAAACTAAGGCCTACTAGATCACATTCAGAGGCTGAAAAATCCAGAATCCATATTAGCGATTTTTTTAGAAAAAATCTACGTACGCCACTGGATTCGGCGTGCCCTGAAATGGATCTGTACCAAATTTCATGAAAAAATATTCAACATTAACGATTCTGCGGCTAAATTGCTGTCAAATTGTTTATTATGCATAAAGAAACTTTTTATCTAGTAACCCATGCGATAATAAATCAATCACAACAAATATTTAATAACACGTTTAATAGACATCATTATACCAAAATACAATGAAACAGACAGAAAAATGAACGAGAAATTAACATAAAATTTACAAAAAATACAATAAAATAAAATTAACACACATGAATTAAATTAAATTCTGGAATTTTCAACTAAATCTCCATTTAATTGAATGAATATTTTTGTAAATGTTGCCTCTCCTAGATTTTTTTTATGGGGGTTCATTAAAGAAAAAGTTTACTACACTCGTCCAATGAATGCAGAAGAACTGCGCGAAAGAAGAAGATAGGCATGCGCTGAAATTACAACACATCAATTGTCTAATGTTATGGCACACATTCAAAAACAATACAATAAATGCATTCAATTAAATGAAGATTTAGTTGAAAATTCCAGAATTTAATTTAATTCATGTGTGTTAATTTTATTTTATTGTATTTTTTGTAAATTTTATGTTAATTTCTCGTTCATTTTTCTGTCTGTTTCATTGTATTTTGGTATAATGATGTCTATTAAACGTGTTATTAAATATTTGTTGTGATTGATTTATTATCGCATGGGTTACTAGATAAAAAGTTTCTTTATGCATAATAAACAATTTGACAGCAATTTAGCCGCAGAATCGTTAATGTTGAATATTTTTTCATGAAATTTGGTACAGATCCATTTCAGGGGACGCCGAATCCAGTGGCGTACGCAGATTTTTTCTAAAAAAATCGCTAATATGGATTCTGGATTTTTCAGCCTCTGAATGTGATCTAGTAGGCCTTAGTTTAAAAAAGAACTGGACGGCGCTTGGCCCCAAAATACACTTTTCCCCCCTCTACATTTCAAAAAAAATTTCGTAAAAATCCCTCCATAAATAAAAATGTTATGAGGGTGGCCCGCTTTCAAATGGGTCACTCTGTATATACAGGGTGAATCATTAACAATGGGAAAATCGAAAGCTGAAGATACTACAAGTAAAATGGTGACCATTGTCGCAAATATGCCTTATCCGAAAGTTCATAGTTTCGGAAATACAGGGTGTTGAAAGTAAAAATTTTAAATCGTTTTTTTGTGATTATTCTGAAAATATGTAGGCTAGGAAATTTGTGAAACTATATTTTTTTAAGCGGCGAATAAGATGCGTGTTGCAATTTCAGCGTTGGTCATAGAGGGCGCCACTTACGGCCAATTTTACAGAAAATTTAGTTAATAATTCTTTACC